CGATTTGTGCATTACACAGTTTATATAATAAAATTAGTAATTTATATCACAAAAATCGTGCCTAAAGGCACTTTTACAATTTAAAAAAATCGTTCAAATTGAAATAGTTTTTCCTTTATTTACTTTAATTAAAGAAATTGAAATCAATATAATCCCTACTATTTTTTAAAAAAAATTTGACAAACTTTTCTTTGAAAATAGAAACCAAAAGAAATCTCAACCTGTTTACACTAACACCAATTGTAACACTGCTTAACACAAACCATTGCATAACTAATTTCAAGAATAAATTATTTAACTTAACTCAATGAGAATATCAAATTTTAGTCTTTACACAATTCAAACCAAAATAACCTTTATATCATAATAACAAAAGTCAAGAGTCATATGTTATACATGCAACCAAAGAAATAAATCCACATAAATAAGAATCCTTTGATTTGAACATTCCATATTTTGAAGTATCGGTCAATAATAAAATTACAACCCTTAGCAATAGAACAAAATCAAGTCAAAGAATTAACATTTAACATTTTTTCAAACACAAAACCAAAACAATATGTATATGTTAAGATATCTCAAAAAATACATCTACCAAAGAATACATCTACCTGGGAGAATTGATGAGTCTTTTCAGCCTTCCATGAGTCGGGAAAAACAAAAATCTATAATACATGAAACAATTTAAACCATCGTCAATGGACTGACTAAATATTAATCCAAGTATCAAAATTTTAAGTGAACAAAAAAATTCATATTCAACTAAAACAATTCAAAATAGCAACATAAGCAAACACCAAAAAAGGTGATGTGTGAATTGAGATGAAATTCATGAAATTAAACATTCCCAACCAATCATTCATGATACCTTATCTACACCATTCGTAGTATATATAGAAATTCAATAGTATGTCATAGTGTCTATGTAAATAATCAAACCACCAACCATGCACCAAAGAAACCTATTCTCAACCAATCGATCCACTTCATGAAAATTCCCAAACAATAAAAATCATGGCCTCTTCAAACTCACCTTATTGCAAGAGTTCTTCTGTGGGCGTGAGTATGTGCATGAGAAAGAGAGGGATAGAGAAACAAAGAGCGAAACAGAGTAAGATATGGATTAAATAAATCAATAAGAGATTTTTTCAAATCATAATCCATCTGTCGGAACATTAATTCAAATAAATCCAAATCATTTATTATCCAACCGAAACCTCAGTCCTCAAAACACAAACCAATCAAAGAATGGTAATTATAAAAACAATTTCAAACCATGCTTCCTAAAAAACCAAACTCACAATTTAATTTAAATTTACAATATCTGTCAAGAACAAAAAGTAACATTTGTATTTTGTAGAGTACATTAATTTGACGAACTCATGCAAAGTTCTTTGAATACCTTACCTCTGGTAATTTGGACCAAGAAGTAGAGTTGACTTGAGAACTTGAAACAATTCAACAACAAAAAAGGCAAAAAATTGGCAAAAAAAATCAAGATACAAATTCAAGAAAATGAAATAGAAAACAACCTAAACAAAATAGTAAACCAAGCATGGTACTTTGTTCTTTCCGTATAGAGCCCAAAATAGATTTTGCAACGGAAGGAACTTAAAGACACTTTCATATAAAAAAAAATTCATTCCAAACAATTAGGCAGCTATCAAGTAACATTGTTTGTCATTGCACCAAATAACTCTAAAATTCATTGTTCTATTTGCATGATCAATTGTTAGTTTAATAATATATTTTCAAAAATCAGTTTGTAAAAATTGAGCACCCCAAATAATTGATTTCACTATATCAAATTAAGACAACCACTTTTTTTAAAAAAAAAAAAAGAAGAGAAAATCCATAACCAAAGACATTGTGCAACACAAAATCAAATACTAATCATGTAATACAAATATTTTCAATAACATACAAATATTAAGGTAGCAGTTTTTTTTTAATTTTTGTTAGTTACAACCATAATCAATTTAAAAAAATATGGACATAGTTTAATTTAAAAAAAAACACACACAAAAAAAATCAATTTGTGTCCATAATAACTAGTACAAATCAACTTATCATTAAAAAAACACATGAATTTAAAGAAAACACGACCCAATTTATTTATTGAATTCAATATCATGCCATAATTCTACTTTAATAAAATCATCTATCAACTACCGCGACAACTTAGTAATATCATCAAACAGACTATGTGCGCAATGAGTGTGGACTATGGTTTAGAAAGAAATAATTTTGTACAAAACAAAACAATAAAATTGAAATTAACTTCTAATAAAACAAAACAATAAAATTGTTATCGAATGAAATTGATGCTTCCTTCCTTATCAAGGTCACCAACAACACAGTCACCATTGCGTCCTTTCTCTAGGACCCATAGTTCATGTCCCCCCTTTCCTGCTGTAAAATGCACTGCGTTGATGGACCCATCAACCTGCAAAACATACACCTATCCTCCTCTTAATCAAGTAGTATTGTAAACCCTTAAAGCTTAGCACCAAAAAAATAAAATAAAAAAATTAAACTATGAAAATCAAGAATCAATAGTGCACCAATGTTCATTCAATCCAAATAACCATGTTGCCATATACCCCCAAATTCCACTTCACACTATACTCTACCACCCATCCGTCCAAACCCTTCACATAGGCTTAACTAAATAATCTAGAGTATTACTGGTTATATTGATCTTTTTCAAAATCTATACAGATTTTAGCAAGCACCCATAAACTTCCAAATAGGAATTGCCAACCCAATAAAACAAATTCTAGAAAATGGAAGCATATAAGAAATCATATAAACCCAATAAAAATATGGAAAAACAAAACTCGAACTAATTTGCAACCGAGCAAATTTAGAAAACAAAGATAAGTAGATTCCTTTCGCAGTGCAGGAAACTAACGGACATTACTATCATTAAAAACCAAGTATGTCAATAAGAAAAAGGGAACAACAATTGAAGGGCATATTTTTTTGTTTTTGAATTGAATGGAAGGTTAGATTGAAAATCCATAAAATCTGGAAAACACCATTCCGAATTGCACAAACAATGAATGACCACACCATTATAAATTGCCAGCTAACAAAAGTGGCAAAAAAGGATCACTTATAGGAAGTTAAAATTGAGCATTTTGGTTGAAGCAAATCATCAAATATGTGGGCATCATTTGTATAGTTAGGCATAAGGGATGCCTGATGGAGGGGTATGGTTGTGTGTGTTGATTGGATGAAAGGGGTGGGTGTATCTGTGTAGAGTTGCCACCATTTGAACTGCTCATCAAGGATAAAGCACAAATTAATGAATGAATGCATAAAAAGGTAAGAAGCATTTAGGTCTTATATACATAGGTAAAAGAAAGATATTTATTATATTCTTGAAAATCATCTGATGTAATTGTGAGTACATTTGCATGCCATATGCAAAAGGGCATCGTGCAATGCAGACAATGTGAAGCAAGCTCTATGCCATAGCTTGTAATATAGATAATATGAACACAGTAAGAAAGATAAGAAAAAAAAAAAGAAAAATATCTCGTAATGATGTCACAATTGTTACATGGCATATCTCTATGCTAATTGTTGGAAATGTCTATTTTCAATATCATGATAAAAAGGCTATGTAGTTTGAATATCCTTCTACCTGTAGAGCGTTTGCTATAATAAGCTCAATATTTTTCGTCCATCTCACTAATGGTTCATTATTAATTCAAAAATGAAAAAAAAAATGTGCATATAAGTAAAAGGAAATTCCTAGACAATTCCCCAATTCGTAAAATAAAAAGTGTGCATATAGTTTTCCAATCCATAAAGAAAATGTAAAAAAAAAAAATATTAGACAATTAAAAAATAAACACAGAAATGAAAATCATGGGCTATCCATGAGACCATGTCAATTTATTGTTAACAGAGGAAATGAACACATAAATAATTATAAACAGTCAATTTACCTTAATGGCTGTGTTTCAGAGGGTTTGCGATGTGAGTGTTGTGTCAAAAACCTTTGGAGCATTTCATCGAACAGTTTATAGGTCTACACTAATAATGCTATTATGTGGGTTTTTTTTCAAAGTGTGTGGCGTTTTGCTATTTTAACGAGTGGCTATTGGGGTGTGTATATTGTGCATCACTGATGTGTATGTATGTGTGTTTTGGTGGGTGTGTGTATGTATGGGTTCAGGGCTTTGGAAAGTGTCAAGAGTGAGTGAGTACTGATGGTGGCTACTGGCGGGGTCGCTGGTGGCTCTCCATGGTGGTGGTCGTTGTTTAGGCTAGTAGATAAGAGAGTGCAGAGAAAAAGATAAGATAGAGAGTGGGGAAGAGAAAGGGGTTAATAGACGCATGAGAGAGAAGAGATAGGGAGGAGAGAAACTGAGTTGGGTGTGTGTGGTAACAGAGAGGATCGAGAGAGAGGGAAACAGAAGGTACTTGGCGCTGGTGACTCCGGTGGGTGGCGCTGGTGGTTTCAGCTCTAGTGGGTTTGTCTCTCTTGGTGGCTTACAAAGTGAGAAGAGAGAGAGAGAGAGAGAGAGAGAGAGAGAGAGAGAGAGAGAGAGAGGGGTATTGAGCGAGAGGTGAGAGAGGAGAGAGTACGCCTAGCTGGGGTTTTGTGCTGGACTGGGGTAGCGTGTGTGGGGTTAAAATGGGCAGGAGAAGATATTTATGTGGGATGCATTTTGAGCCTTTGGATTAGGTTGGAAAAATTGAGATGAAATTTGGACCTTTGAATTAAAAGTGGATTTAATATGAGCCATTCTTGTGCTTTACCAAATGAATTAAAACTGAAATAAATTTTGAAGTTAGAATGGATTCAAAATTGGTTCTATCTTGTTATTATAGATAACAATGCTGGGAGACCATTATTTGTGTGTATATAGTTCATTCTTGATGTTTGAAAGGTTTTTTGTTGATTTATGTTCATTTTATTTCTATGGTGAATTGCAACTAGTTAAATTGCTTTACAGAGATGAATTTTTGAATGTTCAAATGTGATGAGGTATTTATTACGAGGCTTTTATGTTGGAAAAATGTCTCCAAGTTTTCCAGTATTTTTAGCCAATATTGACTTGTAGGCATTCTCATTTTTTTATGTGTGATTATTCCAGAGTTCTTTGCAAGTTCTATGCACACGGAGCATGTTTAAAAGGGGACTATTGTGAGTTTTCACATGACCGCAATGACCCACCAAATAATGTAAAAGCTCTACTCTTGCTTTGTTGGTCAAGTGGTTGATTTTAGTGATTTCATGCTTAGCTTCTTTATGGTTCATTGTTGCAGATCTGCACATTCTATCTCAAAGGATGTTGCTCTTATGGCAGCAGGTGCAGATATGACCATGCGAAAGCTTCTTGGTCAGAGTCTTCTGCTACATCTTCGTCAGTGTATTCTCGACAGAATTGGGTTTCGGATTCTCTCTCTGTAGCTCATCCTTCTAGAGCTGCATCAAGTGGTCTAACTCCAGTCCCAGGTATTAATATGGAGCTTTCAGCTTCAAGCAGACCTTTCTTTCCTCCTACTAAACCAGCATGGGAGCAGAAGTCTGGGTATCCTGATTTGCTTGAAAATAATGATGTTGGGGATCCCAGAAGTGCTAATCCTGCTGACCGTTCAATCTGCTCGTTTGCTGCTGCCGGTAGCTGCCCACGCGGAGAAAAATGCCCTCATATGCATGGGGATTTATGTCCTTCCTGCGGAAAACATTGTTTGCATCCATTTAGGCCCGAGGAAAGGGAAGAACATCGACAAAGTTGTGAGAAAAGGCAAAAAGACCTTGAGGCATTAAAATGTAGTCAGGAAATAGAATGCAGTGTATGCCTCGAACGAGTTCTGTCAAAGCCCACAGCTGCTGAGCGGAAGTTTGGACTGTTATCGGAGTGCAATCATCCATTCTGTATATCATGTATCAGGAATTGGCGCGGTACTTCCCCTACCTCCGGGATGGATGTCAATTCTGCATTAAGGGCCTGCCCAATATGCAGGAAGCTTTCATATTTTGTCATTCCTAGTGTCATTTGGTATTCCACCAAAGAAGAAAAACAAGAAATTATTGACAATTACAAAGCAAAACTCAGGTATAACTGAGTAATCATATATCCTTTTTCATCTATGGTTGCTAACTTGCATATTCTTTTCTTATTTGTCTTGGAATATAGTTGGAAAAGTTTTGTTCGTAGGAATTGAGAACATTCTAACTATGCAGTGTGTCGATGCATCTCATTTCCTTAATAGAAATTTAGAGTGGTCATCCAATTGTAGTTAGGGGGCTGGTTGAACCCCTTTGAGAGTAATTGTGGTATTTTACCATAAGGATACATATTGACCTTGTTCTAGTTTTAGTTCCTTAGACATTCGTGATTCAAACTCCGGCACACTATAGGTTCTTTGATGCTCATGCTCATTTGTGTGTATGCGTTTGCGACTGTGTGCACACATCTTTTTTTTTTTTTTGCGGTGACCTCTATTTTACATGCAGAATGCATTGAATTCATATATTTTACAATATAGTGGTACTGTCACCCTTGACTTTCTTGAAAATTCATAGGCATAATGGGGACCTCCTTACATAGATGAATGACAAAATTATGCTACTACTAATACAATGTAGTGATTTTCCTAAATACTGTTCAATGTTCGAGATTAAAATAGACGAGCCGAGGTTTGGCATTCGTAAAAGTGCAAGAGATCTGTTTATTAGAACTAGAGAAGCACTTGATATAGGTAGTAGTTCATAGGTCAGAACTTTGGTACTCTTTTTTTCAACTGGAATTATTCCATTTAAAAAATTTCCACCAAGTTCCTATGTTGGTTTTGTTTGGGGGTCAACCCAAGTGTGTAAGTTTGATGTGTTGTCACCTTTGCTTTTGTGAAAGTGTTTGAAGCGCTAAAAGTATTGTAGGTATCTGAGTCCATGGAAAGTTTTATAATTGAAATTTGAGATTTTAAGGTAGGTTCAGTGACTCGCTATATTCCAAAATTTGTTAACTGAATTGTAGTTGTAGTTCTAATTTGTGTAACTAATCATTTATTTCCATTTTTTTTGCCAATGGTTCACGTACTAATTTGTCTTTCGTCTTGTAGTTCTATCGATTGCAAGCATTTTGACTTCGGGAATGGGACTTGCCCATTCGGGACTAGTTGTTTTTACAAGGTAATCAAGTCGTTAAGTTTTTATGGTTGTCTATTTTATGTTTCTTTTTTTTTTTTGCTAGGTGCAAGTGGTTATATTATCTTGATAGCATTTGTTTGCGATTTGGACACTTTTTTTTAATCTATAANGCTTGGTGCAAGTGGTTATATTATCTTGATAGCATTTGTTTGCGATTTGGACACTTTTTTTTAATCTATAATGGAGTACCATAGAAGTTATTATGTGGAGTCTAGAAAAGGGATTTCAATGGGTTTTTTGATACGACAGTGTCAGCAAAAGTTTTAGTACATTGTTGATTCGGTGTTTGCGTGAGTATGCATAGATAAGGAGTAGTGTTATCAAAAGCACCCTCGGGTGATTTCCTAAGCGCTAGGGTCGCTTGGGTGCTAGACGAAGTTAGGGGAAGCTGGCTCGTTTCAAGTTGTCCAAGGTGAGGTTTTTTGCCTAAGGCAAATCTTAAGCGCAAAAAATGAGTGCCTGAAATTATTCTCCTGGCAATGTGGTATTTGCTCTGCTATTTTTTTTCCTTGTTTTGCTTTGTTGATTTGTTATGGACCTTCAGATCTGTTCAATTGGATAGAAATTTTGATGTTCAATAAAACTAGATTGATGCTCCAAACATATATATCAGTAATAATCTAGTGTTTAACGACATTTTACAATATCAAAAATTGAACATTAATTATGCGATATTTATATTTTAAATTTATTATTGTTACTTTTATTTTTTAAATTATGTAATTTAAAATTAAAGTGAATAGAAAGAAAATATGATAAACTATGAAGCACGAGCACTCTCAAGAAGGTGATGTATCCGTGTTTGACACCGACACTCTCGGATATGTGTTCGATACTTTTTTATCCATTTTTATAATTAAATGACAATTTTAATTTTTGACTCGTGTTTGACACTTTTTTAAACCGTATCTATTATTAAACAGTAAATATATATTGACATGTGATTAACAAAATTTAGAAATTTGACTAACAAGTGCATTATATTATCAGAGAATATATAATTACATGTTAAAGTTGTACCTAAAATATAATAACAAAAACAACACATACATAAAAGATGAGCAATTGAAAAAATGAGGGCAATTATTTAAATTATATATATTTGATACACCTTTACCAAAAAATTGATGATTACTAACTATTATGGTGTTAGTCTAAAAATTTACATTGGATGACCAGACATAAACATTTACTTTTTGTAAAATATTAAATTTTTTAAGAATAATATATCATTATCACTATATTTGTGATAAATTATATAATTTTTTTATATAAAAAATAATTATTTATAGCGTATCTCCAACGTGTCTGTGTCCTATTTTTTTTTTTAAATAAATATTGTGTTTTCGTGTCCAGGTCTTCCGTGCTTCTTAGATGATGGAGGTAAGGGAGGGAGAAGAGAAAGGTAAGTGTGGATTAATGCGGTTATTTGACGTCGGGGAGTGTGTTGGTTGAGTTGTTTGACATTGGAGACCGTGTAGAGAAGATGATATTTTTGAGTGGAAAAATAAATTTGGGGATGGAATTGTGTACAATTGTATCAAAGTAGATGAAAATTGAATCAATCTTAAAATTTTAGATAGATGTCAACCCTAAAATTTTCTCTTGAATCAACAAATCTGGATCAAATTAAGGGGTTGTATGAGAGGGAGTAACGAAACCCAATTGAATGTTTAGTTGTTTTAACAGTTTGATTTGGGTGTTTAAAATGCTAAGATTTGAGATATTAATGGTGTTCGTTTGAATTTAAATGTTTACACTTTTGGTAGCATTGGAATGTTTAGTACTTAGAATGTTTTTATAATATTCTTCTCTCTTCAATGATGCTCTCGATTCGTCTCTTGTGTAGGCCTCAAGAGACCTGATTGTTGGTCCACTTACGCCATAGATAAACATCATATATGGTTTTGTTTGGAATATGATGTCATGTACCGATGAGTTTGTACCTAGTGTTACNCTTCGTCTCTTGTGTAGGCCTCAAGAGACCTGATTGTTGGTCCACTTACGCCATAGATAAACATCAAATATGGTTTTGTTTGGAATATGATGTCATGTACCGATGAGTTTGTACCTAGTGTTACAGTTTGCGACATGCAACTACGAGTGCCAGCAAAAAGTGGGTTAAGTAGCTTAAAGGTTGTATTTGCTCCAAGTCATTCACGGGCTCACAGAAATTTGTTGGGCTTGGGTATCTTGCTGGAAGGTTGCTATAGCATTTATGATGTGGAATTTGTAGAAGAATGAGATGTCACAGAATTACATACTTAAAAGTCATATTAGTCATTTTTTTTTCCTTTTTACTGATTATGTGCATATTTCTGATGGTTTCTTTTGCAAGATGACATTGTTTTTTTCTGCACCTGTTTCGTTTCCCTTATATTTTTGTATGCATTCTTCAATTGAATATAAATTATTGTAGGCCTAAATTGTGTGGATATTATGTTATTACAGCATGCTTATCATGATGGCAGTCTCGAGGAAGTGGTTCTACGCCATCTTGGGGATGAAGATGGACAAACTGTGATTGCCAAAAATATTAGGTTTTGACAGTTTCCTTCCATTTTCTTCTCTTTTGCCTTTTTGAATGGATATCAATGTGGTATGTGTTTTTCAGGCTGTCGGACTTCCTCAGCAATTTGCAAATAAGGTGAACAACACTCCAATGGCTCCAGAGTATGTTCAGTCATGATTCTGATTTTGCCTCTTTATAATCCTGGATGCTTGTTCATTTGGGCTTTATTTCCTAGCTGATTTCTTGGTCTCAATTTAATGGGAACTGTTCGATCTTTGTCGAATTGAAAATCAAATCTGTTACCAATTATTGGTTACCACATAGATACCCATAGCATCCCACAAACCGGCGTCGCACGATCCGATACTGGTGGGTTCGCTAGATCATTCAAAGTCCTGAACCCTAATTATAACACAAACAGTAAATTGATTGGTGGTCTAAGTAATCCGACATCATAACCCCGACCCCAAATTTTACGTACCAAATTGACCCATGATCTAGGTAACATTTTGGTTTTGCTCCATGTGTGATCTCAACTTGTGCTGTTGCCTCATCATAGTTTTGAGTTGTAGGGCTCCATTTTAGTTGCCTAGATTTTTTGGTGATTGAACATCATGGCATACAAGGTGCCACTACATGACAGCAGTTTGAGAAAACCTGCCGCTGGCAGACTGTTATGTTATCCATAGGAAATTTGACTGAAGGGTTTTGCATCCTTTCTTCAGTTGTAAGACCCTTAATATAGTTGAATTTGCTGCCAGAAATTCCTGGGCACTTGAGTTGATGCTTTCTCAATAATTACTGGACATCATATTTTGCTTAGTCAAGGTTCAGGATCTATTCCATTGATATGGAATTTTCCCTGCTGAATATCAAATGTGTTTTATTATTCACTGGTGCCAGTTTTATATGCAGGGAATATTTGGTATGATGATGTCTGAGCTTATGAAGCCAAATTTCTTCTAATTGGCCAGAGTTACCCTATGGTTTTCAGTAAGGTGGGGTGCTAAGGTTTAACATTGCATTACATATTGTTTATCCTGCAATGAAATCTACTATTCTTCTCAGTTTGTGGACAATCTCTCCGTTTTTCCCAGACCAACGTAACAAAAAATAACTACCAGTACCTCTTAATTTTTGTTGCTCTAGTGCCGTCCTTGCTACTCAATTCAGTGGGTGGTTTTGGTGTCATCTTCTTCTTCAAACACCATTCAAAATTGTTGTTTATATATATCGAATTTACTTGTGATCTTATTCTCTCTTCGAAACATCACTTCCCTGTGTTCAGAGCATTGCTAACTTTCACATGGGGACTGCTGCCAGTGGGGTTATTATCCCCTTAAGCATATGTTGGCATGATAGGCACGTCTCACAAGCCTTATGATAAAGCAAGGGTCTTTCAACTCATTCGAAGAAAGTTCGAGTTCTTTCATGGTGAGCCATGAAAGGATATGGAATTTCACATATACCATTTTGCACTAATAGCATGGGTAAATGTGGCCATCTATAGCCTGTGTTGTGCAGCGCTCTGACATCTGTTCTCTGTTTTCTAATTTATTGTTGACTGCCTTCTGTTGAACTTCCTTGATATATGCTTATATTTGGGGGTTGTAGAGAAGGCATGTAGTTCCATATGGGTTGCCATCTGGAGTTAGCATGTCGCATTCTTCAAATGAAACGGGCATGTTTATGCCGGAAATATGTTATTTCTGGGCTAAAATTTATTGTGTGATAGATTTTCTGAAATGAAAATTTTCAAGGCAAAGGACCATACCTTGTGGATGATAGGTTGATAGGCAGTATGGAATATAAATTGATTTTAATCTAGTGCATTTCTAAATCCTCTTCCCCTTAATCTTGTCTCTGATAAGCAGATTTTACTGTTTAAATCACTGGTTCTTACTATTTATTCTGTTTTACTTTGTGGCAGTGATGCAGAAGCTTGCTGTGGTAGATCCATCCAAACCTTGGATATAAGGTGGTGGCAATGCCTAGTTATATGAATAAAATTGCATCTAAAACAATGAAAGCATAGATTGAATAAATTGAAAACCATGAGTTCAACAATCACTGGTTCCTTGGAAGGTTGGTTGATCAATAGGTGACTATACAGAGGATAATCAAAATAAAAAGATGTGCAAAGGGATGGTACAGATGTTGCCAGAATGCTGGCTTCATCGGTATATAGAAAATTGTATATCATGTTGTGTTTTTTTGTGAATTATTATGTTTGGATGGAATGCTGTGGATTTAGTGATTGGTTTGTACTTAATGTTTTGGATTTTCAGAATAAAAAAATACAATTATGTGACACCTGAGATTGTTGCGAATCATACAATTAAGAAGCATGTTTTGTGCAATTTTGTTGGAGTTTTTGGGATCGATGCTAATAATTTCAAGAACGATCCTAAACGCTAGGATGGATTTAGGATCGGTCTCAAACTCTTCAAAAGTTGTATTCCAAAAAAATTGTAACTTGNGGCATGTTTTGTGCAATTTTGTTGGAGTTTTTGGGATCGATGCTAATAATTTCAAGAACGATCCTAAACGCTAGGATTGATTTAGGATCGGTCTCAAACTCTTCAAAAGTTGTATTCCAAAAAAATTGTAACTTGAGTCCTAAAATTTATATCGTGATCCCAAGAAATTGTAATTTTTTTAGGATTGCTAAACCTTTTTTTTTAGTTGTAATTGTAGAAATTCATATTAAGAGATAAATTGAAATAAGGAAGGAAAGGAAAATAAGAAGGAATAAGACACAAAGATATACGTGGTTTGATACAATGAGCTCATTTGGTAGGTGTATAGGTGAATCAAATATTTATTGTATTATTATTTATTTAATCTGGTCTAATACTTTGTTTGATAGATAAGTTTGATTCCGTATTAATTTCAAAACAAATAACAAGGGCATGTTTGTTTTGAGAATTGCTATACATGGCATTGAGAAATGTATTCCTTATATTTCTAATACCAATGAAAATTAGTACTAGTAATAGAAGTATTTCAATACCCTCCTATGTTTGTTAGTCCAATAGGTACTGTGATAAGTTTTACAAATAACAATTTATTCTATCACATATTGTATAACAAATATACAATTTTATTCTTAATATTATCTATTTCATTATTCTGTTTGTATAACGCTTTTATACAATATTTGGTATAATACATGGTATGACAATTTATACCCAAAAAATTTTGGATAATATAAAAAATTCACATAAAAAATAAAGAATAGGTGTTATGAATTGATGTTCCTGATGTATTTACAAAAAAAAAAAAAAATTGTAAAAAAAAAATAACTGGTGACATCGTACGCTTAAATATAATATAAGAAAAAAATTCAAAATATTTTTTAAAAAAAAATAAAAAAAAATTGATAACACAATACACTTAAACATAATATAAGGAAAAAATTTAAAATAAATTTTTTTTAAACAAAAAAAAAAATAGTGACACTGTACACTTAAACATAATACAAGGAAAAATTCAAAATCAGAATTTTTTTTAAAAAAAAAATTAATAAAATTAAAACACAAAAAACTGTTGGTGGCCAAATCTCACACTAATATTAAAAGTCGAAAGAAAATTCACTCATTAACCTCCTTAATACCATTGGTGGTCAAAATCCAAAAAATAACACCACCTCCTAGATGGTATTATATAAGCTCATATACATGGGTTTCATTGATTGTAGTGGGCGGGTCAATATTGTGACTCAAAAAATAGTATCACACGAAAAAAAAAGTAAACAAACAAGGTATTATTGGGCTCCACGTACTATTTTTCCTAATCCCACCTCCTTATACCACCATTATTCTTCAAACAAACATGCCCTAATAGTAGTACCATAGACCTGTTGTCACGCCCCATCCCGGTCTTCTAAGGATGAGACGCAACTAGGTCTATGATACACCTGTTTACATATATATAATCTAGATTAATAAAACACTAATTAATCCTACAGGTGCAACAATATCACCCATTAGCTTAGTTAATAAGTATGATTGTAAACCTGTCTCATAACCTGTACCATATATAAGACTTTTTACCAATTGTTTGTTTTCGAGGTTATAGACAGATACAAAATCCCACGGCCACATAGCATACATCAGAAAGTATGTCTGTTGAGTTTGTTTACAAATATATATACTATNGCTTAGTATGATTGTAAACCTGTCTCATAACCTGTACCATATATAAGACTTTTTACCAATTGTTTGTTTTCGAGGTTATAGACAGATACAAAATCCCACGGCCACATAGCATACATCAGAAAGTATGTCTGTTGAGTTTGTTTACAAATATATATACTATTAACCTNACCCACATAACATACATCAGAAAGTATGTCTGTTGAGTTTGTTTACAAATATATATACTATTAACCTGTTATAATAATCTCTCATTTAACATAATATACAACCCAACAAATAATTATATAGTCCCTCAATCAGTATCATTTACTCATTTAAAACTAAATACATAATGAACAAAATATCATACTAACGTTGTACAAAACTCAACCCTTTTGATAGTGAACTGATTTGTGTCTCCCTCTCTTGTACTTGAAATGAGAAACTATAGAGGTGTGAGTTAAATTATGCGTTCAGTGAGTATACATGATGTATATAAAATGAAAATGATAGTAATACACTGAAGTAAATAGATACTATGTAGGTACACATATCAAACAATAGCATCAATCCAATTTCAAAAAATTCACAAGCCACAACGCATCCATACTACCCCTTATCGAGTAAACAATCCCACATGGATCCGTGTCTCCCGAACCTCCTAGGAACACCATAGTGCTAGCACACCACTGCATGTCCAGTGATTAGGCATCGACGCTCCTCTCACCATATTCCACATTCCACAATATACAATACAAAGCATCATCCAATCACATAAGCACATAGCACACAATCTTGGAGANGGTATACAATCCCACATGGATCCGTGTCTCCCTAACCTCCTAGGAACACCATAGTGCTAGCACACCACTGCATGTCCAGTGATTAGGCATCGACGCTCCTCTCACCATATTCCACATTCCACAATATACAATACAAAGCATCATCCAATCACATAAGCACATAGCACACAATCTTGGAGAAATGTTATTAAATTCTTTCATCTAGCATCATCTTATAATAGCATTTTAAAAACATATAAAGATATACACTCATCTCAAATATACTGATCTACGACTCTTTGGTTCTATCAGTTGATCATTTCGGTGTTATCGTATCTATTCCAACACCCACTGTCTCACCTGTTGCACCTAACACATTTGTAATTACAANAAAAACATATAAAGATATACACTCATCTCAAATATACTGGTCTACGACACTTTGGTTCTATCAGTTGATCATTTCGGTGTTATTGTATCTATTCCAACACCCACTGTCTCACCTGTTGCACCTAACACATTTGTAATTACAATATCAATATATTTATCACATTTAATAATTAATCCTGCATTAATGCATGCAAGACGATTCAACCCAAAATGCCCTGATAACCCCGGTTACCGCACTGTTCATTCACATACTGGCACATTAGAATTAGGAATCATATTTCTTCCCCGAATCCTAAAACTACACTTCCGGCATTCTATACGTTCCTGGGTATTATATTCATTTGCATTTGAATTATACATTATCACATCAAGCATCAATTAAAAATGCTGCATGCAAAATTTTAGATCATTTGGATTAAAATTCATACAAGTGATAATAATATTTAGAAATCAGGGTTTAGGCATTACCGACACCCATTTCCAATTTTTTTTTATCATATTTCCTTTTAAAACAATTTTACTTAAACTCACACACTCCGTAACTCATGCAAATTTGCCCTTTAATTGAACCATTAAACCCTCAATTTCACTCCCATAATTTTGGTTTCAACCTCGTCCATAAAACGCATCCCAAACATCTCAAAGGATCATTTTTCACATTTTTCTCATATTCGATTTAATACCCATTTGGAACTCTTACTTAGCAACCTGTTAATTACGCTTCATACACTTAATGAAACTCACAAAATCTGTTGTGAAATTAAATTACAACAGCCCACTAATTTATATTTAATACACTTAATTTAAGCTCACANTGCATTAATGCATGCAAGACGATTCAACCCAAAATGCCCTGATAACCCCGGTTACCGCACTGTTCATTCACATACTGGCACATTAGAATTAGGAATCATATTTCTTCCCCGAATCCTAAAACTACACTTCCGGCATTCTATACGTTCCTGGGTATTATATTCATTTGCATTTGAATTATACATTATCACATCAAGCATCAATTAAAAATGCTGCATGCAAAATTTTAGATCATTTGGATTAAAATTCATACAAGTGATAATAATATTTAGAAATCAGGGTTTAGGCATTACCGACACCCATTTTCAATTATTTTTTATCATATTTCCTTTTAAAACAATTTTACTTAAACTCACACACTCCGTAACTCATGCAAATTTGCCCTTTAATTGAACCATTAAACCCCCAATTTCACTCCCATAATTTTGGTTTCAACCTCGTCCATAAAACGCATCCCAAACATCTCAAAGGATCATTTTTCACATTTTTCTCATATTCGATTTAATACCCATTTGGAACTCTTACTTAGCAACCTGTTAATTACGCTTCATACACTTAATGAAACTCACAAAAATCTGTTGTTAAATTAAATTACAACAGCCCACTAATTTATATTTAATACACTTAATTTAAGCTCACAAAAATATGTTTTGAAATAAACTAAAACAACCCACACATATACACAAATACTTAAAATTAATCTTACACATACACTAAAATGAACACACAAACTCTTACCTTCTTCTTGTTTTCTTCTTATTTTGGGTTTGGCATGGAGTCCCCAACTTCTTCTTTCTTCTTCCTCTCCTTTACTCTCCCTCACTCACAATTTGAATACACCAAAACACACACACATTACTACACCTTAAGACACCCACATACACTTGGCACACACACACACACACATGCACTTGACTTTTTCAAAATGACTCACTACCTTAGCCTTGACACATGTTTAAAGATATTTCATGAAACTTTAATAATTCTATTTGCCTCCTCTCAAATTCTTAAGTGATTTCAAAGTCAACCCAATACTATTTTCGTACACAAAATTCCATCTAACAAATAATTTCACATAATTACAATTAGTCCACATAATTATGCTAATATGTATGCAATGTATGATCGGGTCTCACACCTGTATCATGGAGGTATTATAATACCACCAAGAGAAGTAGTATTCAATCTCAAATATATTATTATACATATTTACTATTATAACCTCAGAACTAATAAAATCAAATTGTCATAAATGTAACNATAATCAATCTCAAATTTATTATTATACATATTCACTATTATAACCTCAGAACTAATAAAATCAAATTGTCATAAATGTAACATATATTGATTTAGGGTATTTTGGTTAATTCAACATTAATACCATGAAATAATGTCCTAACTGAATAACCAATTAGATTAAAAACCTTTATCCAATGCTTATGTTGTGTATTGTCAAATACTAAATAAAGTTACGTATTATTCTAATGTCCTATTTAATCTTATCTTTTATCCATTTGTATTGTATTAAACTGTATTATTTTATCTAATTCATTCATTCCTAATACAACAACCAAACGAGCTCAATGTGTAATGTGCATACATTCAAGGCCCAAATGCCTTATGGGTTATGTGTGACGTGTTATTGAAGGTAATTAAAAATAAGGAATTTTAGAGGCCGGTCCTCCTATATGGACTTGTTTAGACTTAAGTTTGTCAGAGAAACTTATTTGTTATAAAGTCCGTTTTTTGCCAATTTTACTATACTATCCCTTTTCTTTAGATGTGAAGTAAAACTAAAAATTAAAAACTCTTAAATCTTAAGAGTTTAACTAACATTAAAATATTTTATCTCTCATATATATACAAAAAAAAGTTATCATTTGGACCCAAAAAATAATACATTTAAACACAAAAAAATAGTAACATTTAAACATAAAAAAATTTGAAACATTCATTATTAATATTTTTAAAAAATAACAATAATAATATGTTCAACAAAAATAGTTACATGATTAAAAAAAATTGTAATATACTTAACAATAATTATTTATCTCAAATTCAAACGCAAAAAATAGTATCATTCAAACACAAAAAATAGTAATATTCAAAAAAAAAAACATAGTAACATTGAATATTTATATTTAGGAAAATAATAGTAGTAACACGCTCAACAAAAACAGTAACATACTCAAAATAATAGTAACATAAACAGTAATATATTCAACAAAAGCAGTAACATGAACAGTAACATTATAAAAAAAATATTAACATGAAACATTCAATTTAACAAATTAACCCCCACGAAAAATACCACAAATTACAAAAAATAAAAAATTAACAAGAACCAGAAATTTTCATCCGTTACCCACAAAATTGACATAATTCATAGAAAATTAAAAGATGAATATTGATGAAACAACGGCACTAGCAGGTCGGAGAGAGAGAAAGAGAGCTTTGAATTTGAATTTTAAATTTATGATGGAGATTTTATTGGTATATTTTAATTGACATTGAATTAAGGGATAACTATATATAAAATAGAAAATTAATTTAACCTCCTTTCAAGGAAGGGTATTTTTGAGATTAAAAAAAAATTGACTTAAGTCATTACATATAATTTTAAATAGGGATTTAACTCCTTATAAGTTTTCTTGTAAGACATGTCTCCAAACAAATATATCTAGAGGGACTCACTTCTAATTTTCACTTAATTATATTAGGTTTAACCTCATTTATAGGGTGTGAATTATATAAAATAAAATAAATCACACATGTCTACCATCATCTCTATTTAATCTAAACAGATCTAGATATTGATAGATCTCTTTGAATTTTATTGTATTTCTACCTAGATATTGATGATTTTTGTTTAATCCTATCATATCTCCAATAGTAATTAGATTTCTAAAAACTTTATACTTGTAAACTTTGGTTCCGTCTCTTATGATACCCAGTCATTTTTTAAAAAAAAAAGTGAATTGGATTTTTTACTCACTAAGACTTTGGATCCTGGTTTCTTCTCAGTGCGTGTGCTTTTTTAGTGGGAAGAGACATTTGTGTACTCCCCTAATCAAAACCTTTTTGAGAGTTTATCAACTTTGGAGGTTTATTTACTGTTTTTTAAGGTAAAATTTAATTTCTTTTTTAGAATTTTTTAATATAGTACTAAAAAGTTAAAAGTGTGGTTCTCAGGACTGTATGGGATCTAGATTGAATCTTGATTTGTCCGAATCTTGATTTGTCCAAATCTAGATTTGATAAAAAATTCAAGTTTCAAATCCGATCTATTTATCTTACAGATTTTAAAATCTTAACTCATATCTATATATTTGATCCAATTATAAGTCTGGTCTAAAATTTTGAATTCCAACAAAATTTTATTAAAAAAATAATAATTTTTACTAAATTTAAGTTAATTTTCAACTTAATTTAATTAATCAATCATTTTATTCAATAATTTTTATTTAATTTTATGTCAATCTCATAAATAATCTGACTAAGTGTATATATATGTATACTCGATTGGATTTTTATTGGATTGAATTTATATGTATTCAAATTCAAATTCGTTTAAAAAACTTTAATCGAATTTAATAAACAAATTAAAATATTAATTCATTTCCGGTTAAAATGATTTGAATTCGGATAAAAATTCCTTCCATTGATTGGTACAATGTTTTCCTTCTGCCTCAGTTTTCAACTTGAGAAGCAAAAGAAAATAATTAATTCTGTAACTCCCTCCCCNGTACCTGAGGACTCTTCCGACCCTGTCCGTCCCCATCCAGGGAGAGATGCTGTTCCTATACCTGGCAGTTTCAGAGTTTGCAGTAAGCGGAGTACTTATNTTAATAATTAATCCGGCATTAATGCATGCAAGACGATTCAACCCAAAATGCCCTGATAACCCCGGTTACCGCATTGTTCATTCACATACTGGCACATTAGAATTAGGGATCATATTTCTTCCCCGAATCCTAAAACTACACTTCCGGCATTCTATACGTTCCTGGNCAAAAAAATCAAAACTTCAATAAAACTACATCGGGCTTCTTCGAACTGCCAAAGAGAAAAACAAAGCCATGAGCAATTCTCCTTCAAGGGCAAAGAACCTACACAGCGCAAGCTGACTCCACCCTTCAACCTTTATCATCNGGGTATTATATTCATTTGCATTTGAATTATACATTATCACATCAAGCATCAATTAAAAATGCTGCATGCAAAATTTTAGATCATTTGGATTAAAATTCATACAAGTGATAATAATATTTAGAAATCAGGGTTTAGGCATTACCGACACCCATTTTCAATTATTTTTTATCATATTTCCTTTTAAAACAATTTTACTTAAACTCACACACTCCGTAACTCATGCAAATTTGCCCTTTAATTGAACCATTAAACCCTCAATTTCACTCCCATAATTTTGGTTTCAACCTCGTCCATAAAACGCATCCCAAACATCTCAAAGGATCATTTTTCACATTTTTCTCATATTCGATTTAATACCCATTTGGAACTCTTACTTAGCAACCTGTTAATTACGTTCCATACACTTAATGAAACTCACAAAAATCTGTTGTTAAATTAAATTACAACAGCCCACTAATTTATATTTAATACACTTAATTTAAGCTCACAAAAATATGTTTTGAAATAAACTAAAACAACCCACACATATACACAAATACTTAAAATTAATCTTACACATACACTAAAATGAACACACAAACTCTTACCTTCTTCTTGTTTTCTTCTTATTTTGGGTTTGGCATGGAGTCCCCCAACTTCTTCTTTCTTCTTCCTCTCCTTTNAAAAAAAAAAAAAAAACAACAGCCCATTCATTTCTTAAAACAACTCCTCCTCCTGCCAAACATTACCCTTAGAGGCCCCATCTGTGTTACTAACCCACAAAGACCTCCTCACAACACAATAAGAGGAACTGATCTTCAACTCCTGCAAGCAATCCCTACCAAACCCATCCTCAATTAACATCACTTTGATCTATCAAATCTCAAAGTTTAAAGAAAAAGAAAAAGATTTATCTTTTATAAATCTTTGAGGCATGATCGAAATTCTATTTTGTTTATCATGTCTTTTTTTTGGGTATTGCAATTTAAACATAATCCCTTCTCGTGTGATTAAAAATAAAAGATTTATAAAAGATAAACTTAAGTGAGACTTTTTTCTTTTGGATTATATTGTCTCTTCAAACTTTTTTTCTTTTCGTGGTGGTGTTTGTTTTCTCGTTTGTCCATAATAGATCTTTCTCATTCAAGAAAAAAAAAATCATATAGATGAACATTGTACAGGAGAAAAAAAATACCCATTCCATAAACAGTGAAGCAAGCCGGAGAACTTTTATACCAATCCACCAAATAAAATTTTATAAATATAAAGAATATGTATATGTATGTAAGTACAAGACTCGACTTTTATTCCCCTCTGTATTCTAAACTACTAGAGAACAATATATATTAAAAAACAATAAACAAAACGAAATAAATAAACTCCACATTAAATCCATGGAAAAAGAAATCTCTCGTATGAATCCTCCATCTTCTAGATGAATATATGTGACCCTGTGAATGAATCCATTGCTGAAATCTCTAGTTCTTCATGAGCGTAAGCAAAGACAAGAATAGCGAAGAGCACAAAATAACTACAGAGACCAGTAAAGAATACCCAGAACCATGGTCCATCGCTGGTGCCTGTGCTGGAGCAAAATCTGATGCTGGCGCCGGAGCAAAATCTTGTGCCGCCGCTATGGCGGAGAGGACTGCAATGACACAGAGCATAGCACAAGTGAATGTGGCTCCTAGCCCCATTGCAGACATATTTGCAAAGGAGAGCGAGAATAGGATTTTCTGCAGAGAGAAAGCAAGAAGAACTGAGAGAGTGGTGGCGGTGATTTGGAGAGGGGGGGAAGATAGGTATTTATAGGTGACTGGGGGTATGCTAGAGGCGTGTGGACCCCAACAGAAAACGTGGACAGCTGGCGGTGTGGGGGCCAGCTCACGTTGAGTGGAAAGAACTGAACAAGTTTGAGTCGTAGAAGGTAAAGGCTGTTCCAAGGTCAACTGTGGGTGGAGAGGTGGGGAGTTTGTCACCGTCACGACTGCTTATGCCATGTGGTAGAGTTTGGTTTAACTACTATTGCTCTCTCTCTCTTCTTAACGCCGAAGTAAGTCTCTCTCTCTCTCTCTCTCTCTCTCTCTCTCTCTCTCTTAACGTCGAAGTAAGACTTTGTCGGTGGGGGTACCACGTGCCACTTGCCAATGAGCCTAATAGAATCCCGTGGGTTCATTTGATTTGATTAGAAAGAAAAGGTGGCGAAAAATGAAAGAGGCAGTAAGTGAACTGTAAGAAAATATGTTTTTATGTATATATTTGGCTAATATGAAAAATTTTTAAGAAAATTTTAAAATAATGTTATTCCATTGTTTAAAAAAAAAGAAAGTTATGAGAAAACTTTTTTATTTGTCAAAATTATCTTTAAGTATTTTAACTCGGTCTAAAGAAGAAAAATATATTTTTTATTATTTAAATTTAAAAAAAATTGGCTCCTAACCTAATTCAAGAATAAAGATCAACTCGAACCTTAGTCTCTAGACTAAATTATATGATTAACCTAATTTGTACACATTCTTTTAAAATTAATATCTAATTGAATATTTTAAGAAAAATAAGAGTAAAATGAGAAGTTAAGTTATTGAATATAACTTTCTTGCTTTTTCTTGTATTTTTTGCAAGAAAAAAAAGTTAGTTAAATGTGATAAAATCTAAATATGAGAGAAAATTATTTTTTCTATTAAAAAAAAAGAGGGATTGAGACGGTGACGGATTTTAAGGCTGGTTTTTAGGACGGTTTGTTGTGTTTCTGGAACAAAAAGTTGTGTTGTCGGTTATTTTTTATTTTTATTTTTTAAAAATTAAAAATAAAAATTGAATAAATTTAGGATACCTTCCATATCGTTTTTATTTTATATAATAAAAATTAAAAATATAAAATATGTTTAATAATTATTTATATTTAAAAAATTATAAAAATAAAAAATATATATATTTAAAATTATACCGAAAACCCACTATCACACAACCACCCAACTCCACCGAAACACCACCAAAACCTTCCATCCAACCCCCTGCAAAACCCATCCACCCAACCACTTTGAAACCCACCATCACCATACTTCCACCATCACATCTACCATCACCACCACACTCCCACCACCCTTTCATCAACACCATCATCACCACTATTACAATTTTATTTTTATTATTTTATTAGTTATTATAATTGTCCACTTTGAAACCCACCATCACCATACTTCCACCATCACATCTACCATCACCACCACACTCCCACCACCCTTTCATCAACACTATCATCACCACTATTACAATTTTATTTTTATTATTTTATTAGTTATTATAATTGTCAACATATGTGAAAATTTTTTGATTTTTAATTTTATTTTTAATTATTATTATAAAATTAATAATACTCGCATATTACTTTAATCCCATTTTTATTTTCTATTTTATTTTTAATTATTATTATAAAATTAATAATACTCACACATTACTTTTATCCCATTTTTATTTCTTATACGGCTATACTTATTTGACTTTTAAGTTATTTTAGACTCTTTTATTAACAATATTTGACTTCTAAATTCTTTATTATTTTTATCTATTTTTTATTTCTTATACCTATTTGACTTATAAGTTATTTTAGATTCTTTCATTAATAGTATTTGAATTATAATTTCTTTTGCAATCATTTATTAGTAATTTACTTTCATACATTTTTTATATATATGTTTATATTTATATGATGAAATAAAGTTCAATTTATACTCTATATTTCTATTACTACATATGTGCGTGTGTAGTTGTTGAATTGGATTCTATGATTAAATATATGTCATGTTTTTTTTTTTTTTGATATTCAACAATATCATATTATTATAGTACAAACAATAGTATTGCAATTAAATTAACCTATTTTACAAGAAAAGTAATTTATAATATAATTAGATGTACAAATACTCAATAATGATAATTTTACAATGCAATTTCATTATAAAAAAATTAGAAAATTGTCTAATGAGTCGAAGAGATCTTTAAATAAATGATAAATTAGATAATCAAATAGGAATAGAATATATCAGTAATTAAGTTTAACAATAGTTAAAATAAGAATTAATTATTACACACATAATTTATGATTCAATTTAATTACATATAAAATTTAAATTTCTCATAAAAAATTGTTATTCAAATATATTCAGATGCAACGCACGTTGTGCATTACTAGTATATATACAAAACGAATAAGTCATTGCTCAAGCTTTATTGGTCGATTAAATGAGTGTCAAAATTAAGTTGGGGCTAATTAGATCGATTTAGCAAATTTTAATTTCAACTGATTTTGATTTTTTTTTTTTGCTAATGATTTTTTTTTTTTTTATCAATACTAGCGACTGATTCCGAGTTATTCATGAATAGTTCGGCCCATTTGGAGTTCTATTTTACATCAGAAATATTATTAAGGTTGGTAAATGGCACTTACTCCATAGGATTAGTTACATGCCTTATTACACCCAAAATATCAAGATGTAAGAACGACACGTAACAAAGATACAGCGATAAAATAAAGTCAGAGAGAGTCTAGATACAATAAGACGGTTGAGAGAATAGCATTTCATAAATTTTTAAAAATGAAAAAACATAACATCATGAATTGTCAATTAAAAACGGTTTAATGCATGTTTAAACTTATCGAGGAAATAAGTCGTGAGAGCAGTCATGGCCATAAAAGTTGGCTTCGACGGTTGAAAGTCATTCCCTATAAATACCAAAAGACAAGTTACAGAAAAAGATCTCTCGATCAACACACAACAATACACAAAGTCAGCCTCTCATTTACTTAATTTATTTTACAAATTTCCTTTAGCCCGTAAATCGTCACACCTGTGATATTCCTTTCGGATTAATGTAGTTTGAATTATTCCATTGTCATTTACTTTTCTTGTCGTTAATTCCAGTTTCTTTCCTAGTTTACTAAGTTGTTTGGTTAATTCCAATTTCTTTCCTAGTTCACTAAGTTGTTTGCTTAGAAATTAGTTAAGTATCTGATTCCCAAGGCAAATAAAAGAATCTGAAATTACTTTTACGTTTCGTTACAATTGTTTGAACATTAATGATATTAAAATCTCACACCGGTACGTACAGGTAAAATTGTAAATATTTGAATTTTAAGTCCAATTGATTTTGACACACCCTCAATCCGAAAATATGCCAAAAAATGCCATATGTATCATGGTCTAAATACTAGATTTGGTAATTGTGTCGGATTGTGTTGATTCGTGTCAAATATTAGCGAGTTCGTGTTAAAAACTACTCAACCCGTATACCACTTGTTTATTATCAAGTAATTAAGTGATAAACAAATTAAGGTACTCTATTCAAACATGACTCATTTATTATACGNTCCTGTGATATTCCTTTCGGATTAATTTAGTTTGAATTATTCCATTGTCATTTACTTTTCTTGTCGTTAATTCCAGTTTCTTTCCTAGTTCACTAAGTTGTTTGCTTTGAAATTAGTTAAGTATCTGATTCCCAAGGCAAATAAAAGAATCTGAAATTACTTTTACGTTTCGTTACAATCGTTTGAACATTCGTGATATTAGAACCTCACACCGGTACGTACAAGTAAGATTGTAAATGTTTGAATTTTAAGTCCAATTGATTTTGACACACTCTCAATCCGAAAATATGCCATATATATCATGGTCTAAATACTAGATCCAGTAATTGTGTCGGATTGTGTTGATTCGTGTCAAGTATTAGCGAGTTCGTGTTAAAAACTGCTCAACCCGTATACCACTTGTTTATTATCAAGCAATTAAGTGATAAACAAATTAAGGTACTCTATTCAAACATGACTCATTTATTATACGGGATAGGCGGATCCACCCATTTACTATCCGAATCAGTTAATATTAAACTTAAACCCGTTAATTTCATGGTAATTAGTGTTGAGTAATTAAGTTGTGTTTAATTTTGTCAAGCGTATTAAAAACTATGGTTAAGATTAATTATTCAACTCAAACAAGACAATTATAGCTATCTAGATTTATTTATTTCAATATCTTTTCACTTTTATATCTTTCTCTTTTTTCCCAATCTCTATACACGGATATTGTGTATGCACGACTCTTAGTACATGAGTGAACGCAGAGAGGGCTTTGCTATCCACATCAATGGGACTCACCAATGTTTCAAAAACTCTGGTGTGTGTACAAAACTCAGACTTCTATTTAGACTTAACTTTTACCCACGNTACATGAGTGAAGGCAGAGAGGGTTTTGCTATCCACATCAATGGGACTCACCAATGTTTCAAAAACTCTGGTGTGTGTACAAAACTCAGACTTCTATTTAGACTTAACTTTTACCCACGTTAAATTTATCTACGACTTGTGCACAAAACTCACATTACTATTTAGGTTTTTACCTTTGCCCATATCAAATTCATTTGTAACACTTTTACAAAATTCATGTTACTATTTAACGTTATGATTGAAACCTAACCTCCATGGATGTCTCTATCAATAATGCCCCAAAAATTGAGATCGCTAACACTTTCCATAAACTTTTTATTTTCACCACCCATTTAACGAAAATATTGAAAACATAAAACAAAAAGTGAAAGAAAAAGCCACAAACTCTAACATTTATTAGCAGTTGCCCAAATGGTATCCATCCCCATTTTTAAATGTTAAGATTGTAAGATCGAATCTCATCGTTCCCTCTTCCGTAATAGTATTGGACAAAAACAAACATTAGAAAAGATGAAGAAAAACCCAACAATCCTAACAAAAGACCTGCTCAAAACAAGAAGTTAAATCCCCTTTGTCCTCACAAACTCAA